CTAGGACAACAGTACATCTGAAGAACCCATTTCTCTCCCGTGTCATTAATGGTCTTGGTACAGTTTGGGTTTGGGTTTTTTCTTTACTTGGTTTGGTCTTTTTCCCCTTGTAATAATAACAATAATAATAATGGGAATGATGTTTTGCACATTCGGTGCTTTTTACTGTGGAGCTCCCAATCTCTTGCCCAAAGGAGGAGGAAGTCAAATTACAGATGAGGTCAGACTGAACACCAGAAAGGTGAAAAGATTGTCCCAGGATGCCCACTGGCAGGACTGGGAAGGGAAGGTGCATTCTGAGTGAGTCACAGGGTAGTGATACACAATGATGAACTTTCATGTAACACCGATTCTCAGAATGAAAAATTACTTTTGTTTGCAGAAAATGGACTTAGGCATTATTTGCTTTCTTGCCCACCTCAAATGATTGCTCAAAAGATTAAATGGTGGTGAGGATGACAGGACAGTCTGTTTACACCTGGGAGTGCGCTCCCATGAGTTCTCATGAGCTCTAGTTGATTCAGCAGCCAAAGGGTTTCACTCTTCAGGCTTATCTCTCGCCTTTCAAAAACCTCAGAATAAGAGAAATGAGAGGTGTAAAAGTAAGGCAGGGGAAGGGGGACACCAGTGCATAAATGCAGTCTGCCTCATAGCAAAATTGCTACTTGAATGATTAAAAATATTTATCCTGACTATAGAGATACCTAGAGATTTAAAACAAAAATCAGAATCAGCCTGACAGGGTCTTTGAAAAGTGATAAGAAACATCATCCCATCCTCATGTAACCCACAGTTTAAAATTCAGACAAAAAATGATGAATGGGTGCAATCAGAAAAAGATAAATAAAGGGAGAGAATGCCAGATTCCCGTGTAAGCTTTATAAATTAAGGCCCTCGATAAGGAAGAAGGTGAAAGTGTAACAGGTTAATGTAGATACAGCATTGTATAAAGAGACAAATTGGGAATCAGAACAACAACTGAATGATAAAAGCTGGTGCCACAGGTGCAGCACAGAGGTTGTATGTTTGAATTTGTGTCTGAGTCAAGGAAGCCAATGAAGAGATCTAGAATGAGGTGACTTGTGTCACCGCCCTGGAAGGTAAGCATAGCCTGAGCTAATTGTTGTTCTGTCATCAGTGGAGGTGTCTAAATTGGTGACATGAATGGTGGGTGGCAAAGCCACCTCTGGGTGTGCTTGCTTCATTTCATTCACCATTCATAGATACCATCTAAGTGACTAGTTTAGATCAGTTGCTTAACTTTCAGGTGGCTAAAACTAGCTAAGAAGAACAGGAACTAAGGTGATGAGAAGTTCGTAGCAGAAGACTTATGAATGCACTTAACAAAGAGAAGGTCAGGAAAGCTGTAAGGGACAATACTGAATTGTCAAGGTAGGTCAGAGTGGCTGCATCTCAGTTGTTCAACACCTGCCTGGAAGGTTCTACAGCTGCCTTCCAACTCATGGTAGATCTCTTTTCTACCCTTAAGGCAGTTCTAGAGATCAAGGAGCTGATGGAAGTGGAGGCAGGAGTGCAGTGCTAAGACAGTGATTGTAGCTGTGTGAACGGGTAAGATCTCCTATAAGAAAATAAGGGAGAGGAAGAAAGGAAGAGAGTGATGAAGCTCCTCAGGATGTGGCAGTAATATTAAGAGGAAATGATTCAGTGGAGAAAGTGAGGAAGTGACAAGAGTTACTAAACCCTAGGGAGGTATGGAGGAACATTTATTATCCCTTAAGGAGGTAACAAATAATCAAGCACAGAACGACACGAACAGAGCACATTAGCTTTGGCCAGAAGAAAGTCTGCAGAGAATTAAGTGAGAGGTGCTTTTGAGTGGAAGGAGCAGAAGTTTTAGGGAGGTATGGAGGAACATTTATTATCCCTTAAGGAGGTAACAAATAATCAAGCACAGAACGACACGAACAGAGCATATTGGCTTTGGCCAGGAGAAAGTCTGCAGAGAATTGAGAGGTGGTTTTGAGTGGAAGGAGCAGAAGTTAGCCTGAATTGTCAGAGAAGAGTCTTAAGTTAAATAGTTTGGTGAAGCTGATTTAAGGTGAAACCACAGGGATGGTCTATGAAGGAGAACAGCTGGACAAGGACCAGATGACTTGATAAGAGCGATTTTTTCTTTACAATGGGGAGAGTGTATCATTCTGACACTGAGGGTGGAGGAGGGCAGCAGTGCAAGGTAAACAAGAGCCATAAAAGAACAGGTTAAAATGATGGTAAAAAGAGGTTAGGAATCAGAAAAGTACACAGGCACAAAGCACAAATGAAGAAAGCTGGTAGGAGAGAGGCACTGAGAAGCCTGCATGTTAGGACTGAAAACAAAGTGTGTGGGGTCCATGCTTTAACAGAGTGAAGGGATATGTGTTAAGGCAAATTCGAGTGGAAAGAAGAGGGAGCATTTCAAAGCAGATGCATAATAGCAGGCTGAGTATAGTAGTAATTAGCCGGAGCTGAGGCAGAGCAGCAGTTAGGCGAGCTTTGCAATTATAAGTGGGAGGCCCAGATATGAAAACGAATTTTGAGCTTCCAGAATCAGGGAGATTTGAGTCCATTATGAACAGAGCATTTTTAATCTCCTGGGGAAAAGGAAGCTGAGCCAGACCAGCCATTCTGAATTACCCGACAAGCATTATCCCCCTAGTTAGTGCTTGCAACTGAGGAGCAGCAGATCTGGAGTTCTCATCAAGCCCTGCCGTTGTCTTTAAGATGCTGCTTAATTTTGATGCTTGCATACCCCTTTGGGGACCAAGAGGCTGAATTAATTAACATTTAATGTACCTTGAGATCTTGAACTGGAAGGAACTGTAAAAATACAAAATATTAATATATTGCAACAGTTCTAGGCTAAGCCCAAGGAGATGTTTCATAGCACACAGGACCAGTGCACATGAACTCACACTCAGGTGTGCAAACGCGTGTAGGCATCTAAGTTTGGGGGAGTTGTTTCTGTAACCAGGCTTTCTGTTTCAGCTTCACATCTGCAGACTGGCCTAATAGTATTTCCTAATAGACTGGGAGGTATGTAGATATTGCACTGAAAAGTGTCACGGTAATAAAAATCTTCAGTCTCTAAGGTAGGTAGATAAATAAGGGGTTGGAAACTGCATTGCACCAAACCTGGCCAACTGCAGCCCAGCCAGTAAAAAAATATTATGAAGGTAAAGGGGGAGGCAAAGGAAAAGGGGAGAGGAAATGGGATACGAAGTGTGATCAAAGAAGAACGAACTGAAAGCGGGGTAAATGTGTCAAATAAATAGTGATAATGAAATCCTAACGAAAAGCCTTCTGACATTTGTTCTAACCTATAGTTCGCTTTCTCTCCCGCCTCCGTTCTGTGTCTCGTAGGTTTTGTTAGCTATGACAATCCAGTCTCTGCACAAGCTGCTATCCAGGCTATGAACGGCTTTCAGATTGGCATGAAACGCTTGAAGGTTCAGCTGAAACGCTCCAAAAATGACAGCAAACCTTACTGATCTTAACCCCAGATGCTTACTGCTCTTATTTTAGCTTTCTTAGGGTAAGTCCCATGAGCAAACCTGTCCTCTGCAGGGGGGTTAAGAAAGAACATAGAGCCAACCTTCACCAAGAGACAGTTATTTTTACAGTTACCACTTCCATTTTCCCCACTTGTCCTTATTGCACTTGGCTCCCATTTCCTTGCCAAGTAATTACCAAGTTGTGTTACTGTATTTTGTTTTGCAGCATAATTTATCTCCTTTTTAAAACAAAAATAAACGTCTTGAAATTCAAAGCAACACACACACACACACACACAAACACAAAAAAAATGTGCAATTTAACTCTGTGAACCCTGGTGCCATTAGCACACAATAAAAGTTGTTTTCTATGGATGGATCGTATTTTACCAGGGTGGCACCAGCAGTTTATAGGTTAAACAAAATGGCCTCATGCCAGTTGAAGCACTTATTTTGCAACAAAAATTGAAACAAGTCTTTCCACTACATCAACTTGTTTTTTGAGAAAATTTGAGTATTTTTTTTTCGGTTCAAATCAACGTATTGTTATATATTAGTCTGATTTTACACTGGTCGTCTTTATATTTCACTTTTTTTTAAGTTCTTGTTTTTTTGGAAAGGATTAATGTAAAAAAGATTTAGAGATCTGTTTCTAAAGCTACAGGGTTTAAAATAAAAAAAATAAAATAAAATGAGTGACAATACTTGATGTTTCTTGAGAGATAAATTTAATAATAATAAAAAAAGAAAGCCACAGGCCTGTAAATTTTATTTGTAAAAAGCATTTCTATTTTTATACAAAATTTTTACTGCCTCAGAAATAATGGAAGTTATTTATTGCCTATTGTTAACTTATTGGATACCTAAAGAGCAGCTCTCTATGCTAGCTAGATCCTTTGAAGTAGTCTCTAGAGTAATTGTGCCAGGAATGGGCGCTTTTTCACTGTTGAACCCTACACCCTTTACAGTTCATGCTTTTATCCTCTTGTTTGTATTTGTCTGGTTATTTTGTTCGTAGTTTCCATTATCTAGTTTAAAGTTCAGTTGTCTGACCCCCTTTTTTTCCCCCTCCCCGTATCTTTCTCTTACATTTGTAGAAACTGGTTCTTTCCTCTCTTTTCTCCCCAAAGAGGAATCCATTCTCTCTGACTCCTTTCAGATGGATTCTTTTGGGGTTCCATTGTGCTCTTGTTGACAAGTATTGTAAGTTAATGCAAATTATGTGAACGGCTCATAGACTCTACTGATAAAAGATTTGCATTAGTTTTCTCCTGCACCCATAAAAGTGATTTTGTTTGTGCTGCATAGATTCTATGTAACTTTTTTTCCTCTTCCTTGTTTTTTCCCTAGACATCTCCATGCCCGTTAGCCCATCGTTTGCCTAGCATGTCCCTGTGGCGTCTCAAAAAAAAAAAAGTTTCATCGTCCCGTCATTGTTTCTGATGTCTTTCTGACCTCACATCATATTTGGTTCTCCTACTGACCTTTGATCTAGTTTGACCTTTGAAATTTGCATGTGACCTCATCTAGCTATGAATTCTGGGAAGTCAATGTGAAAAAACATTGCTGCATTCATGCAAGACTGAAATTTATTATTAGATAAATTAATGATAGGATTTAAAAACAACCTGTGGCAAAATGTTTTTTCTTTCTTTCCTTTTTTTTCGGTTTTCTTTTTTCCTTTGGGTTCTTTTTTTTTTGTTTGGATTTTTTGTTTTGTTTGGTTTGGTTGATTTTTTTTTTTTCATTTCGTAAAAAAAAAAATAAAAAAAAAAAACAGACTTGAAAGTATTATACAGGGATTGGCATTCTGCCTGGTCACTGGTGACAATAGCAATATGTGTCCAGAGGCACAGAATGTTGGTTTCTAACAGACTACTTCCAAAACAGTTTGAGAAATAAAACTGTCTGATTTTAAGTCTCTAGAGGTCTGTAATAGTTTTTACATTTTTCAGGCAGTGTAAAGTTTTTTGATAAGGCCATTTTAGGTGGCTCACTTTCTCATTAAAGTATATATATAGAACCACTTTTTGTAGATTAGTATAAGAAAATATTTACCCTGTTTTAGGGCAAATGCTACCTACTTGTGTCACCTTTTGCTGAACTGACTCACAGTTAGACAATCCATGGTTTAATGCACATGAAATTACCTATATTTTATACTGTTTCAATGTACAGAAGAAAGGTTACTGTAAAATGTGTTACGTTGGTGCTTCTGTGAATTAAGTTGTGGTTTCATCATGAGTCTTATGGTCTTAAGTGTTCTATGTTTATAAAAGGCGAGTTTAAAATTGGTTTACTTGAACAACAAGAACAAAAACAAGATTCAAAAAAAAAAACAAAAAAAAAGACAAAAAAAAGTTGTTTGCTTAAAAAAAATGAATTTCATGTGAAAAATGAAAAAATATTCCAGAATAAGTTTGTGTTGGCTTGTGACGCATTGATGTCATTTTTTTATTGTGAACAATTTAGATGTGTTTGTGTTCAGCAAAATGTGATCGGTTTTTCTTTTAAAGAAAAAAAAAAAATCAGTGAAACTATAGTGCCAAATTCCAAAGGTACTTTCTTCCTAGAGCTTCAGTGTGTTTCTTGTGTGAAGTAATTTGATAACATGGGTATTTTATTATGTGTTTTGTATAAATCCCTAATATTTAAAGAAAAAAGAGGTTAAAAAGTTTGTTAACTTGCTATCCTGTGGTCTTGTTGCCTGAAATTGTTATTGTTTGTTATTTCTCTTTGATGTTTTTTGTAAAACATTGTATAAGTGCCCATGTTTCACTTTTTTAACCACTCTGCACACATCAATGCTGTGAAAGCAAACCTCACTATGTATTTTCTTCATATTGTATGGAAACCTCTAAGGTGAGAAAGTTTTGAACTTTTAACCCTTTCCACCCAGAGCTGTCTCGAGTGTTAATACCTTTTATACATTCACCATTTTGCTGTTTATTTTTATATATATATCTATATCTATAAATATATATATACTTAGTTTTTTGTGGTTTATTTAATACATGGTTGAAATCAGAACAATGCACAGGGCAGATCTGAAGGACAAAAATATTTTACTGCTGTCTAAATTTCTTCTGTATCTATAACTAAAATTATTTAAAACCGTAATTAACTTGTGGGTTTCCTTTTTAGATTTCGGGGATTTTGTCTTTTCTTAAAGAGCTTTTAATATGCTGCTGGAATATGCTATTCAGTATTAATAAAATAAAAGAAAAAGAAAACAATTCTTTAATTATCTATTGTGTGAGCCACTCCCAGACAGGAGTGGTAAATCCACCATTTGAAAACCTTGAGGAGAAAAAAAAAAAATAATAATATTTTTGTAATTTAAATAAATGAACTTTTGCTTAAATCAGATGCACTAGATCTTCCTGGGTGAAAATTCAGTGTGCACTGCAGTTAAACTACTTTTTATGGATAAAGTTTACATACACTGTAATGTTTGGTGTTATCTGCCATTATTTGTAACGGCAATATATTGGCTTACTCCTGCAGACACTCGTATAGAGAGGAGTAACTTTACTCGTCCAAGTAGTCCATGGGAATTTATTTGTGACCGATGTGGGTGTTTGCTGGAGGAAGCTCTGTGTAAGGAACCAGAAAAAAGATGCTGGTAGCCCTTTTCACTGCCTTGTAAGTCTGATTTGATTGCATTTCGACCGCACAAGTAGTGGCCAACAACCAAATTTGGTTTTTTCCTACCGTTATAGAGAATTCATTGCCAATCCAATGCGTGCGAGCAGCAGTACCTGCTACTGATGATAAAGTGCCATACCTTCTTCCACTTCCTATTTCTATCTGATTATATTCGAAGCCGCCTAAAATTAAAAACAAAGCCCTATACAAACAACATCAGCTGGTGCACTCTTGTCTCTCATCCCCAACTTAAACGCTTCTTTATGTAGAGCCCTGGGATGGAAAGGACTAGCCTCTAGTGATGCAAAAAAAAAGTTTCCTTCTTATAGCACATGCACTTATAAATAAATGATCTATACTTTTCTCACATGTTTTTACTACTGCTGGGGCCTTCCTACACCCTTTGAGGGCTATTTTGTACTACTTGCAGCAATTTTGCATATTCAAAGTATCATCTCACGTACGTTATATTATATATATGTACATATATATATAATATGAGATCATCATTTGGATTGTTTAGACTGTTTCACTAATTTTTTCTCATTGTACCCACCGTATAAATCTCCAAAGCTTTTTTTTAGATGCCCTAGTGTGTCCTGCGGGTTTACCAGTCCGGTTAGAGCGGCGATGCCTTTGGTCCTGGGGCAGTGTAACTCGGCATCGGGCTGCCCCGAATTACTCTACGCAGGACATTGGCTTAGCAGCAGGAGAGGAGGAATGTTTCTGTACTTCCAGGCAATTGAGACGGGTCATGGCTGAGAAAAGTGTCCATCTTGAAATAAAATTAAAAGAAAAAAAAAAATCAAATAAAAAACCAAAAACCCAAACATACACCTCCTTGGAGACAAATTATCTACTAGTTCTCTTTCAAAATATTGAAAGGAAAAAGCTGCAAGGGTGCAAGGGCCTAATAAGAGAGGAAGAAAAACAAGGGAAATTGCTTTACAAAATTCTAATCAAAAGACTAGACTAGTTGTTTTTTCAAATAAATTAGCTAATTGCGATGAAATGGCAGTCCTCAAAGGAGTAACAAGTTCATCTTTCTTTCACCATAGGGGTTACAGTTCCTTGGCTTGTGCTACTCTGGAATCATTTTACTGTTTCTGTTTTTATTATCTTAAGTGCTAATTAACAAAAGGAAAAAAAATATCCTGTAGTTTCATTACCTTTTTGGATAATGTAATACAAAAAAAAAAAAAAAACAAACCTATGTATTTGTGTTTTTTTTGTGCTGTGAGAATTGTTGTTTGTAGATTAATAATACTATCATTTTGTTTAGAATTACAAACTAGTTTTTAAGTATTGTCTGAGAAAAGCCAAAGTTAATGCAATCTAGTGGAAGCTGTAAGACCATTTGAGTATTGTTTCTGTTTTATTGATGCATTTGGATTTTGTTGTTTGATGGAATTTGAGCCAAAAAAAAAAAAAGAACAAAAAAAAGAAAAAAAAAAAGCAGGCTTTCCTATTTCTACAACTTGATTGTACTTATGCATTTTGTACCAGTGGAACTTTTTATACTGGAGATTAAAAAACAAATGGAAATTTTTGTGGCTTACTCTCGTGGGCCCCCTCGATCATGACTGATTTTCAAGTTTGATTTCTGGATGGTAGAAAGAGAGTTGGTTTTGTTTAGAGAATTCAAAACTTTGGCTTGATTTCTTTTTTTCCCTTTGCTTATATCTAGTGTTTAGAATTTTGTCTTAACAAAAGCGGTAAGTTTCACTTTTTATTCTGTATCGTGCAGTTACACAATAAGGTAATTAGAATTAGGAGTACTCGGTCACTTTGCGTGGATAAATGTATTAGTTAAACCGTTAGGGGTTTGCTTTTTTGCTGTTTAGATCAGAGTTTTTTCTGATTCTTCTGTCCTCATTGTGAACATAACCGTGTAGTTGAAACAGTCAGACTTATTTTTGTAACGTATGTTATTGTGTGATGCAGTTTTTTGCTTCTGTCTCCAATATTAAACCATTTTCCTAATACTTGTCTCTCTACTTTGTGTGTTGTATTGTTGGTGGTCATTCTGTGTTGGTAATACATCTACACACCTCACTGTTTCACGTGCCTGTTTTTTTTTTTTCTCTATTTGTTGGTTGTGTACAAAAGATACAGTCGATTCCACCTAAGTGAATATCTGATTGGGGGGCAAAAGAGGATTTGTACATTTTAGACATGTTATGGTTTCTTTGATTTTTTTTTTTTCTCTCTCTTCCTCCCCCTAGTCATGCCCTATCACTTGGATAATCTATCGGAGCAGGAAACATTTTAAATGAGTTTCCTGCAAAGTCATATTGAAGGTAGCTTTTGTTAGCCTTCTAACTGCAAAAGGTTCTGCACACAAACACACAGAAGCCACCTGAAAAGACTTTTTTTTTTTGCTGTGACATTTCAGTCAGTCTGGAAAATGCGGATTATGGAGATCAATTCTTCCTAGTCATTAAAAAAATAATAATAATACTCTGTTGCTACTTCGCAGAAGCATATGAAACATTCAAGAAAAGGAAGATATAGCCTTGGGATTTCTTCCAAATTGCACAATAATCTGATGGCATATGGTGTTAGTCAAACTCTCCTTAGAAACTAATCACATCTTAACTAGGGCTGTGAGAGCCTACCAGGTGATCGAGCTTCTTATGTGCAGTTATACATATAATAATTAAAAAATAAAATAAAATCCAAGTGAGCACAGGAAGACTTTCTATTAAATCCAGTAGAAGTTTTTAAAAAATAAAATAAAAAGATAAATAAGTGATGGGAAAAAAATCCCCTGTTGTTCAAATGGGTGATATTTTTGCTGTGGGCTTACAAAGCAGATCATTCCCAGCATTGGCTAATAGTATTACACAAATCTCAAAAGGGACAAAAGAAATACTGTAGCACTTTTTTTTATTATTATTTTTTACAGTTGGCTTTTAGCTTTTTTTATTCTTTCATTTCCTATAATTTTTTCCTCCTCACAAGAATCTCTCTGCTCTCCCCCAACCGGTGTCTACCATGATGAAATAAAAGCTGCAAAAGAAAAATCTATGTTGTTCTGGTTTACAAGAAGTCTCTCTTCTCTGTCTGATCACAGATACAAACCTTACAATTTGGAGAGGGGGAAAAAAAAAATAAACAAAACCAACCAAACCAAACCCAAGGAGGAGAGAGCAGCACCGGCGAGTGCTCTCTGGAATTCAAGCCATACGCCCCCGTCCCTTTCCTTTGTCCCACTTTCTTTGATGCTCAGGAATCGAAGACCACTTAAAAGTGCTCTTATGAGACCCAAACGACACTCCTCCCTCATGTCTCCTCTCCCCTGGTCTTTCTGGCACTCTGGCTTTGGCTCACACACACAAACACACACAACCCCCTTAAGTAATGTCCTACGAGGTCATGGCGCACTGGGTGTTTCCGTGTTGGCTCCTGCGTTTGGAAGAGTTTTGAAATTTTATGGTGGCCCATGAGTTGGCCTGGTTGTCGTTGCTCGATACTTTTTTTTTCAAAATTTTTTTTTTTTTGGCTTTTTTCACTTTTCTGTTTCCATGAAAGGCAAATAAGTGATGAGTCTGGAGTCCCAAACAAGCTCAAGTGTCATCTTACAGGGTCTGTTGTCAGAAGTCAGGGGTCCAAGGAAATGCCTTCCGCGCAACTCTAAGTTTAATCTAAAACCATCTGTAGTGGACAGCCCAGGCAGGAGAGCAGAAACCGATGGTCAGACTATATCCTGGGTCTCTGACACCTCTAGAGTTTATGATCCTGAGTTGGATAATATTGACACCAGTGGATTCAGTTGAGTAAGTCTTGACTTGCATGATTGATAAATCAGAATTGGTCTCTGGCTTTTTTAGGTTGCTGTGAATGTTTTGTTACTATTTTTTTTCTTCAAAACTTGGTCTTAGGAAAGAAACTAGAGCTTTGTGAAGGGTCTTTTCTTCCAAAAATAAGACTGAAAAAAAAGACTTATACTGCAGTTGGGTTTCTTTTAAATACTCAGGGCTGAAAGATACAGGTTTTTCTTCTTTTTTTTTTTTATTTCAACAATGGGGAAAAATGAATTCCTTAAAGCAATGCAGCTGAACAGTTTGTCCTGCTTAAATGCATGCTTTTTAATTTCAATTATGTAAGGCACCTTGCAGTGTTAGCAAAATGTCTCTTTGTTAGCTATATGTGTATCGCCATGGGAAATTACCAAACTGTCACAAGACTTGCTGATTAAAGAATAGCCTGCCAGAGTGTGTGTGCCTTTGCCCAGTGTGACTCTTAGGTATTAGGCTAAGGAAAACAGTTTAACAAAATGTAGTGTGAATCATTCCTGATAAGTGAATAAAGCATTGTGACCAAGCAATCAGATTATTCACTTATCAGGAATCGACTGTACTGATAGTTTGCCTGATTGTTTTTGTTCTTCATCTCTGTTGTAGTTTCACTACTTTGCTGTGTTCTGTTTTTTCTCTCATGCTCTTAGCAAAATCACTGGGAATATCCCTTCGTGTGATCATGAAACATGCTACTGAGTAACAAATAAAAAAAAATTTTTAAAATATAAAAATGATATCTTAACAAAATCTATGCACTTGCTATCAGGAACACAATACTGGATGTGTCTTATATATATTGAACTATAATAGTATTCGATTTCTTAAATAAAGCTTAAGAAAGGATTCTGTTGTCTGTAAAATTTTATGAGCATTAAATGGAAAAAAAAAATAAATCATGTTTCTAGGGTTGGGCGCTTTTTGTTGTATGAAATCTTACTGGGTACACGGTCTTTAACCATGCCCAGACAAATGTTATATAATTCGCTTGATAGTTCATTAAAAACAGAAACCTTGAAAATTAGGCTTACTGAAGTCTGTGGGGAGAAAAAGTCTTACCATTCAATGACTTGCAGCAAAAATACTAAAATGCAGAAATGTCTATTTTTTTTCTGTATTTGGAAAAGCAAATGCACTTGCTTTTGCACTAAAACTAAGAAAGAGCTAAAATATGTGAATCAGAAAATGTAATGAAACAATACTATATTACTTCCACAAACAAAACAATACTTCTTTTTGGTATGTGACTTTTTTTCCTCCTGATTCTAGACAGATTTAGAATAAAAAAAGGAAAGCCAGTATGCTCAAAATCACAGATTCAACACTGGAGGTCAAAGCATCTTTTTGCGGAAGAATTGTGGCTTATTGTACCGTTCCTGTATCTGAGCCTTCTCTTAGGAAAAAAAAAAAATCACATCAAAACCCATGAATTAAATGGGAGTCGAATAGCTAAAACTGTTGAGTACACTGAAAAATTTATTCCTTCGATGGCTGTACATTTGCCATAAAGTTGTAGCTTTCAAACAATGTTTTTTTTAATGGAAATACCCGTACTTCTTGTATTTAGCAAACTTTCAATAATGTCAGCCTTTGGCAAAAGATCCAGGAGAGTGGTGGGGGTTGCTTTCTTTTTTTTCTTTTGAACTGCATTACTGCCTCACTTTTCATATGCCATTATATTATCTGAAAAAAAAAAAAAAAAAAAAAAAAAAAAAAAAAAAAAAAAAAAAAAAAAAAAAGAAAAAAAAAAAGAATTAAATTGTGGAAATCTATCCGTTGCTTGTATCATTCTCCTCTATTCATACACATTTCACAAATGTTCTTGAACTCAACATCCAATGACCAGGTTCGTTAGACCCATAAACCCAAAATACTGCTCCCCCAGAGAGGCCGTGGAGAGGGTTGGCTTGGGTGGGCAGCAGGATGGTCCTGTCCATCCCACAATGGCACAAAGTTTAGATGGGAACAAGGCCCTGGTTTTCAGGGGCTGCTGATGTAACAGAAATATTAAGTAATAGCAACAATTAGCTCATATTTGTATTCCCTCTGATTTTTCTCATTATCAAACTTATTTTTTATCCATTAAAAGGAGCTGGAAAGTTGCAGTCATTTTCTGAATCGTTCGCCCCTGTTGATAGCCTAATTGTTTTACATGAATGCTAATATTTCCCTCTCACACATTTATATCTATCAGCTAAATCAGCAGTAAAGTAAACTCTTCTGGGATACATTCCTATATCAATTAGCAAGGATTTATGCTCCAAAGCACCATTAACATTAATGGGAGTGTGCTCTTTAGCATAAACAATTGGCGATAGGTCTGGTGGACTTTATTTCACAAACAAAGAAGCATTTGAATCTTAGAGACTTGTTTCCTGAAGACAGTACTGCTGGGAGCGATGTCCCAGCCTGCCCGGGCTGCTCTGGGGACATCTCACTCACAGCACATGCATAAATTGTTGAGTTCCCAGCAAAAGGAGAGAGACAGCATCAGTTCAGAAAGTGGGCTAACTTCTGGTACAAAGTTTTGCTGGCATTTTCGCTTCTGAAAAACCTGCCTGAGAACACACCAGGCAAAATTTTCAGCATTATCTCACATCCCTCCAACCAATGGCTTGAAAAATTTCACTCTTGGCTCACCCACGTTGCGTGGTGCCCCAGGGTGGAGACCACAGAGATGTTGGAAAGAGGCAGAAGGAAGACCAGAGATGAAATCCTGGGGGAAAGCAAGCGGTGGGTTTGTCAGCTCCCTGCACTGTAGGTTTCACAGCTCCGTGCCTTTGAGCAACAAGTTAGAGGGGCCCAATAAATCACTCTCACCCTTCACATGTAGGACAACATCATTTCCCCCGACCCCATGCTTGATCAAGTCAGCAAATAAGCAACAAAAGAGTTCAGTCGTAATCCAAAATCACTGGGGTGAAAGTCCACCACTTCCCAGAAACACACAGTCTGCTGAATCCCTGCCCATGCTTTTGCAGATGTTTTCTCTGTTGGTTTTGGCTGTGCTCAGTTCCACTACACTATAGAGCCCTTTTGTATCTACAATTTTCCCCCCAAGGATGGTTGTAAGCAGGTCTCGAGTTGCTTTTTATCCCCTTTTTTCATAAAATAAATATATCACGTTCTGGAAGTATCTACATACAATAGTGGGGTTTTGGTCCCTGAATAATTTATGTGGTTTATTTCTGAAACCTTCTTTTTCTTTCTTTCTTTCTTTTCTTTTTCCTGACATCCTTTCTAAATTTGGGGTATCAGAGCCGGATTAATTATTTCAACATCAGGTCTAGTGGTGCAACATGCAGAAATTAAAAATGTCATCCCTATTCTACTCCTATGAATTGCACGGCCAGGGATTGCATCACTCCTTGCAAAGAATAACATGCAAAAGCCACAAAACACCATATTGGGAGAATTATTTTGGGTTACTTCTTTAGTAAGGCTAAACCCCTCTCAGATGTATTGTGCACCAGGTTCCTGTGTGTGTGGTCTGCTTGCCTGTTCTTAGACTTGAAAGCTTACTTACAACCATACTGAGAGCACTCTTGTATAACTCCTCGTCCTCTTCATTTTCCAAAGTTATCAGCAGATTTAATATTTACTTCCAAGTCATTAATGAAAATATTCAATAGCATTCAGACCTATTACTGATCCCTGCAGAACCCCTCTAAAAATACTCTTCTACAGTGATTTCTCCTTTGACAGCTTCTTTGTTGACACGTCAGCCCAGTTCTTAATCCATTTTATGTGCCTTGTATTGATAGGGTAGAATGCTAATTTTTTTTTTAATCAGGATCTGCTGTGCTGTCAAACATAGAAAAGTCAGGGTATATGCCATCTTTGCAATTACTTTTATCAGCCAAAACCTACAATCACATCAAATAATGAAATCAAGTTTGACAACCTTTCCTCCCTAAAAAGCATGTTGATTGGCATTAATTGTTTACCTCTTCTTTAATGTCTTCTACCCCTTTATAGTCATATCAGTATTTCCATTATTTTGCCAGTGTAACGTCAAACTAGCCTACCATGAGCTGGGTCATCCTGCGTGTCTTTTATGAATATGAGCATGAAAACGGCACGTTCCCCATTGTCTGGGATGCTGCTGGTGTGCTCAAAGAGTCCTAAAGATTCGTATCAATGGATCAGAGCTCTCTGTCCCCTTCTCAGTCCAGGTACCTGGGGTACATGCTGGGAAATATTGTATCTTTAATAGCAACAGTAGCTAAGTAGATTATTACAGAGTTGGATCAGAAACCATTTTATTCTTTTCCTGACATGTTGCTATGTGAAAGAAGAGAATTTTTGACATTTCCTCTTTTTCTGCATCATGACTAGCAGTTTTCCCATCTCCGTAAGCTAAAGTCTAATGCTAAAATGAACATACTTAAAGAAATTTTTGCAGTTATCCTGCCCTGCTCATCCAGGTAGCTTTGACAATGTGGTGGGCAACCATGGGATCATGCATATTTATCTGTAAGTCGGTAGGAACCATGGGTGAAGGTAAAATAGTTTTTCATTCATTTGTCATCCTCTGAATAGATACTGTGGAGAAAGCCCAGTGGAAAAGAGTCAGTATCACCTGGACAGTGAGGGATACCCTACTGGAGAAGACAGGTCAACTAGAAATGAGAAGAAACACAAGTTAGCCAAACTGACCTGACACCAGTGTCATTACAGATAAAAATGGGTAAGCAGCAGCAATAGCAGAAGGTGGCAATGGGCTGTTTTATGCAACAGCATAGACATAAGTGCTTTTTCAGGCCACAGTGACAGCATACAGGTCTCTGATAAGGTTTCTTGGGCGTAGACCATAAAGGTCTGAGATACTGTTGTATCTGCTCAACCTCAACCTCAGCCCAGCACCCCTCAAAGCAGAGACATACCACTGCTTACCCTGTAGACATCTCTGCTAGTCAGGTTAACATAAGTGCATCCTGGATGTTGGCTTTGCTGCAGGGGCACACAGCTGGCTTATGGTCACCTCCCACCCAGGTCCTTTTCAGCAGTGCTCCTCCCCAGCCTTTTCCAGGACAAGAACCTCTTCCTTCCCAGGTGCAGGTCTCTGCATTTGTCCTCCTTGAATTTCACAAAATTCCTGCTGGCCCTTTCCTCCAGCCTGTCAAGGTCACTCTGAATGGCAGCCCTGCCCTTGGTGACACCCCCCTATCAATTTGATGTCATCTGCAAACTTGACAGGATGGGCTATGAAGCGGTGGGAAATATGGATGTTGCACTTTCACTTGCTTTGGATTGCGCTTGTCCTTCTGTAGGTGGCTGAGCCTAATGCAAGTCCAGGCTGAGGAGACAGCATATTACGGTATCTCACCCACTGCTTTCTTACTTTCATGCCAAAAAGAGAATAAATAAAAAAATAAAAAACAAAACAAACAAAAAAACCCAAACAACCAAACAACAAGAAAAACCCAAATGAAAAAACCAACCAACCAACCAAACACACAAAAAAAAAAACCACACAAAAAAAACAAACCACCAAACCAAAACAAAGACACTCTGGAAGGTGCTAAGAAAGGAACCAGCATTTCTCCAGCAGGTATATTGTAACAAGTCACACAGCACTCTCAGAGCCCACCCTGGGAGGCGGGACTGGGATTTCTGCTCACCACCATGCTGTGAAGCACACTCTTGGGCAATGTTGTCACTGGTCCAAACAGCTACTAGTGATTATGTAGGCTCCAAGTAGTGACAAAGCCAAATCTATGGCTGCACCGCTTCCAGGATGGCCAAGATCCTTGTTCTTGCAGCTGGCAAGACTCCATCCACCAACCCGTTTCCTCGTTAACCAGGTGTCAGTCTGCTGCCAGCAGCCTAAGGCAATCTTCCTT